CAATGGGCCCAAATTTTATGTATTTGTTTCTTTGTTTTTATTTAACCAAATAATAAGTTCATTTCATGAACAAAACAAATTATAAAGAGGAAATTACAAGAATATTCAGATTTGCACATAATTTAGAATCGGGACGGGAGTTTCGATTCGGTTTGGAACCAAGCCGTAGCGAACCAAAAAATTTGGTATTTTTTTGAACCGTATCATTCAAAATTCTCGAACGATATATATATATATATATTTAATAAAACCGAGTATCTCCGAAGCGAATTGAACCGAACTTTATAAAATTTCTGAAAAACCGAGATTTTTTTTAAAAAATCTACTCCCTCCGTTTCAAAATATTTGTAGTTTTAGATGATTTTCCATGTTTCAAAATATTTGTCATTCTACATTTTCAAGGCATTTTTTTACAATAATTTCCAATTTTATCCCTATTAAATTCTAATAAATTATTAGTGATAACATTGTTTTTATCATTAAATAAGGGTATATGTGACTTTTTCTATCTTTTCTTAAAAAATGTGAAATAATCTAAAACAACAACTATTTTGAAACGGGGGGAGTATTTTTTTTAACAAAACCGAAACCAAACCATACCGAAACCGAAATATAATAGAATCAAATAATATACGGTACTAATTTAGTATAAATTTTAGAATACCGAACAAACTGTTCTCTAACCGAACCGCTAAAATTACGAATCGAGTCCCGGAAAGCCCAACTCTAATTTAGAATTTGATGTATTTTAGGAATTCATAAATTCAAGGTAGTGAAGAAACAATGTTAATAAATGTGGTACGGGTTGACTACATGACTTTAATTAGTTCATACAAATTTCCAAAAATAAAAAAAATACTAAATCTGATTTGGACCTGAAACGATCGATTTTAAAACCTTTTATGAGAAATTTCGGTTCTGAATCTTCTTTTTTTTTTATTTATAAATATCATCGTTCTAAATTAAAAAAAAAAAAAGAAAACAGAATCCGATCCATTGTATCGGAATTAGGGCAAAACTAAGGAAATTAATTCGGTGGATTATTTGTCTCAGCTATAAAATTAAAATCAATTTATCCCTTTTCACATGTGATCTTAAAGTCAAAATAATAGCGTGTTGATTTACATGTTGACTATATATATAGAATAATTGGAATTTAATGATAGAAATATAAGTTGATTATATAGTGTTTATGTGATGACTACCAAATATAAAGATTCCTAATAATAATTATTGAATTTTTTTTTTTATCTAATTTTCTTTCATTTTCTCATTTCTCTTCTCACAAATATTAATTATAGAAGTTTTATTAGGTAGGTTTATCAGTTAAATGTTTCCCGCGTTTTTTTTAAAGATTAGGCATAATAAAGTAATGATAAAGTTCCTTTCATACAGTATTTGAATTTAATATATACAATCTCGAGCAAATTTTTTTACCTAAATAATTATAATTCAATTTTAGATCATAAAAAATATGTTATTTACAAATTCGGATCCCGATTTGAATATTGTTGAACATTTTTTGTTATAATTTATTATACAAATGTATTTTTTGTTATAATAATGCTTCTACTATTTTATTATAATCATTCAAATCATCGTTTATTTATTTTACCAAGACAAAAAAAGGTTGTTATATAATCATTGTAATCTTATTTATTGGATTAAGAAATCCGAGGCCGTGGCTCTGGTCAACGGTCAAACCAGGCGTTCACAAAGCCGCCGACCGGTTCCTCGTCACCGGAAACATCTGTCCAAAAAGTCAAAGTCAAACTGTAAACCCTACTCCCCTTATATGCTTTTTCCCTTGGACCATTTCAATGGCTTTCTTTTTCTTCGTCTTCGTCTTCGTCTTCTTCACTCAGCCCGACGCCCTCGAGATTTCATCTCTCCTGTCCTGTCCCTCCCTCCGCCGTCCGATCAAGTTCAAGATAGATCGATGGCGTTCAACGTTTCCCGCCTCGACGCCCAGTCGGCGGCCGAGAAGGCGGTCTCCGTTATCGGATTAGGGTACGATCTCTGCATGGATATTCGTCTCTCTGCCTGCAAGGCTTCCCCTTCCGGGTCGAGATTGGTGGACCTCGACCCGACCCGGATCCGTGATCTGGCTTTCCCCGGCGGCGTCGTCGTCCAGAACGTTCCAAGCTCCATTAAGTGCGATAAAGGCGAACGCACTCGCTTCCGCTCCGATGTCCTCTCTTTTAACCAGGTCTTTGATTTTGCTTCAAGTCCTTCTAATCTGCCGATGAAACGATTCAGAAATTGTGTTTCCGTGACATGGGTATCAATATTTTGATGAGAAATTCACTGGGTGTGTCTTAGATTTTGGTTTTTCTTCCGTGCTGAATGATTTGGCTGCTGATGAAGCTGAAAGAAACTGAACTAGTTCTAGTTTCTCGCGTTGTGTTGCAGATGTCGGAGAAGTTTAACCAGGAGATGTCTCTCTCGGGGAAGATCCCGTCAGGGATGTTCAATGCCATGTTCGACTTCAGGGGATGTTGGCAGAAAGACGCGAGCTCGATCAAGAGCCTGGCTTATGATGGATGGTTCATCAGTTTGTACAGTGTTGAGCTCGAGAGGCCACATATAACTCTGCGCGATGAAGTCAAACGCGAGGTTCCGACATCATGGGACGCTGCCGGGCTTGCAGGGTAACTGTTGATTGAGTGATTCTTCTGGTTATGGGAGTTGCAGATTTGATGTAAGATCATGTGTTTTTTTTTTATGTTTCCAGGTTCATTGAAAGATATGGCACTCATGTTGTGGTCGGGGTGACTATGGGAGGCAAAGACGTGATCCACATGAAGCAACTCCGAAACTCGGATCATCAATCCGATGAAATGCAGAAGCTGTTAAAGCAGTTGGCTGACAAAAGATTTTTGGAAGATCCAGACGGGAATCTCGGCTTGAACCCCGCCGAGTTTTCGGGAAAGCTCAAGGTAAAAATCATTTCCACAAGCCCTTTGTCGTTCTTAAAGCTTAAATCCGAATCCTTTTACGGGTTTTCGCCGCTTGCGGGTGACATGAACTGTTACATCGGGTGGATCTTTTTAACGTGTTTCTGCAGGAGGAGAGTCCTCTTCAATGGGATTTTAACGGAGCATTCGGTGCTTCGGTTAGGCCACCCGTTATAATGCGCTCCAAGAACGAGGTCTTGCTTTCTTCTCGCCCGCTCCTTTCACTGCTGAAACGTATGGATCTCGGGATCTGATACCAGAAGAACAACGTTTTCATTTGTCTTTTTTGTTGTTAACTGTCAGGACGTAATGAGCATTTGCATTAGAAGGGGAGGTGTCGATATGGGGCAAAGTCACGATCGATGGCTAACGTCGGTATCACATTCACCGAATGCCATATCGATGTGCTTTGTTCCCATAACTTCGCTCTTAGGTGGTTGTCCCGGAACCGGGTTTCTTAGCCATGCCGTGAACTTATACCTCCGATGTAAGAATTTCCGATCTAACTTTTCGTGTAGTTAGTTACTTGCTTACTCGTACGAGTTCTTTCAGAGTTACAAAGGTTGTCTGAATGTCTTTTAGATAAGCCACCAATAGAGGAGTTGCACCAATTTCTCGAGTTTCAACTTCCTCGGCAATGGGCTCCGGTGTACGGAGATCTCCCTCTCGGGCTACGCCGCACGAAACAAAGTTCTCCGTCTCTTAAATTCTCTCTGATGGGTCCGAAGCTTTACGTCAACACATCAAAGGTATTTGCCCGTTTTTCGCCCTCTCCTACTCCGGATAGAATCAAGAAACCCGACGTTTAACCCAAAAAACTGTGTTTTAGGTCGACTCGGGAGAGAGACCGGTGACAGGTCTAAGGCTATTCCTCGAGGGGAAAAAGGGCGACCACTTAGCCATCCATTTACAACACCTCACGGCCTGCCCGTCGAACCTCCACCTCACCCACGACCAGACCTACGAGCCGGTGGATGAACCAGCCGAGAAAGGGTACTACGAACCGGTGAAATGGGGAATCTTCTCGCACGTCTGCACTTTCCCGGTTCAGTACAATGGCGCACGTTCAGAAGACGCGGCCTCGATCGTGACCAAGGCGTGGCTCGAGGTGAGGGGAATGGGTCTGAGGAAAGTTCTCTTCTTGCGGCTCGGGTTCTCGCTCGTGGCCTCGGCCGTGACTCGCCGGTCGGGATGGGATAATCTCTCGACCATCTCGAGGAAATCCGGTGTTTTCTCGATGATAAGTATGAGGCTGAGCACTGGTCCGAGTCCGGCGCCGCCGCAGGATACGCCGGCGT